TGGAAAGATTCAGATGCAATTAATCAATTAATTATTAAAATGGTTTGTTATGAATGTATTAATATATAAAAGTATTTTCAATGGTGTTTGGTCTTATATTTTAGTCTACACAAATTCCTCTCACAATCGATAACTTTTTACTTGTTGCTCGTACCACCGATTCTCAAGAAGAATTAAAAACATTAACAGAACGTTTAGAGCATGAAATAGGAAAATTACGCTCAAAAGATATTGGTGGTGAAAATGGTAAGTCATTCTTCTTTAATGAATAGTCATTTTTACTAAATTTTTACTTAATCATAGATGCTGATATTCGAGCAACATTAAACAGCTACAAGTATTTGAAACGTCTTTTAAATGATAGATTGGATTTACAACAACGTTTAGAATCATCACTCTTTGTATACATTCTATACATATTCTATAAAAATAATTTGTTATGGTATATGATTAATTTAGGATGAGGATGATTTACCGCAAAAAGTTTCATATCACGATTTACCATTAACAGAAATTCTAAATAATTCTAATGGACTGGATTATTTTCTAAGTAATTAGAAATATTGCTAAAATTTGTAGTTTATTCATTTTTTTTTTGTTGTATTTTATTTAGAATTTTTACAGTCTGTAGATGGTGTTGGTTATGGTAATTTTTATTTAAATGCTGAAGTAAGTTAAGCGTTCAACTATGTCAACTACTATGAAAAATGAATTGGTTATATGAATCTGTAGGCATTTCGTTGTGTTCAACAACAGAATAGTCTAAATAAAACCGTTGAACAACAGCAATCGAATTTAATAGATCCGATACGTCCTTTTAGGGCACATTCAAATTGTCTGTTGATGAAAATTTGATTAAGAAAACATTAAAAGTATTGCAAAGTGAAACAATCGACGAGACATTACTAGATGATTTGCAAAATAACGTAAATATTTATTTACCTGTTATATTGTTCGTGGTCTAAGACAGGGTATAGGCTTCGTAGTTCTAATTTTCCAGGACTGAGATTTTTCGACTTTACGTTTTTGTTTCTGTTCATTAACTTTAGGAATTCGTAGTGTTCTCGTTTTCTCAATAATCTTATCGCATTGTCTGGCACCATTTTCTCTATTCAGCGTTCGCATATAAATGTTTTATTGTCTATGGGATGTTTTGTATAAAAAACGTTCACATGGTGGTCCTGCATCTTGCGAATGTGGACTATCGGAGCTGAATTGTTCCTTTCCTAGACTAGCCTCCTCCTCCTGTTGACAATACATTAACTATTCATGACTTCCTGAAAATGTTAGAAAAACTATGTCAATACACAAAAATCTCTACTCCTTAGTTCGTGTAATGTGCGATCTTGTCTTCTGTGATTTTATTGACAATCATGGAAAAACTTGAAATGACTCTCATGATATATCATGAACCTTATTTCTTATAATGATAGTGTGACCAAAATCAAATTAAATCTTTTTAAGTTTTAGCTATTTTCATTTTCCTGATATAATTTCTTTCTTACATTTTCCATCGGCACTGTAGATGGATATATTTTCTTTGTTCTCCAATATAGACATTTTACGTGAGACAGATCTACTTCTGTCAAAGCTCAGTTTGTAGTTTTGTTTCTAAAGCGTAGTGATTTTGAGATGAGTCGACGGTAGGTCTAAATCTGAGTGTATTATGCGTCGTTTCGTATTTTCTTTGGGCACATAAAATGAGTCAAATTTTTGGACATAAGTATGATACATTTCACTGTGTACATGTTTAGTGTAAAAATTTTAATGTTTAGTTAGATGATAGACCTTGTTACTTTACGCTTTTTAACATTTCTTGAATCTTTCTTAATCATGACTTTTGAAAGTCTAATGTGTGCTCTGTTTATTATCTTTTCAAACAGTATCCATTGTTTTTAAATTAATTATAATATCTTTTATTTAGGTATTTGAAATTCTTTCATCTGACAAGTATTACGGACAATTTAAAACAACACCACAATATTTGAAAGTTCTGAGTGAAATTGATTTTATCGATTCAATCACAATGGATAATTCTGGTAGAAAATTTTTTTTTGTCATTTTTTTGTATCTCGTATTCTATAAGTGTTGTGTTTTATTCAGATGCGGCCTCTCTTTCAAGTAATAACAGCAGTGATGTAAGAATATTATTTGTCAAGTTATCTTTAAAGTATATTTATATAACGAATTTTCTTTCAGCTAATAGCTCAAGCACACAAAAAGCATGGAGTATCGCCCAACGTATCTAGATTCGTCAATTCACTGGTCGATGCATCTAAATGCGTAAAAAGAAAGCCATCGAGACATCGCACGTTGTATCTAGATAAACATGGAGATATCTAGATGCATCTAAATACAGATAAATGTTTTTCTCGATGTAACGACATAACATTGCCCATGCATCTACTTGAGCAATGCTGTGAACAATGCATTTGGCGCCCACTAAGTGGATCATGCATCTGGCTGACTCAGTGATTCAGACAATACATGTAGACATCATTGTCAATGCACGGATGTGTCAGTGTTTCAATAAATACATTTATTCCAATACAGTGCTCTGGTACGTGGACGGAGACAAAAACATATGCTTATTTCGTGCACTTTTCGTTTTTGACCTACCCAATTTCATTGGATGAAAGTTCTGAGTTTAAACCAAAATTAAATGAGATATCATCTTTGGTTTTTAGTTTTTTCGGCTCTACCGTATGTACGAAGATATTCGGAGATGAAATCTTATTTGATTTTGGTTTAAACTCAGAACTTTCATCCAATGAAGTCGGATAGATCCAAAACGAAAAGTGCACGAAATAAGCATATATTTTTTGTCTTCGTCCACGCATCAGATTACTGTAAGCAAGCACTGCTTTACCTGCCTATTTTCTGGCTTCTCAAGGCATTGAGATTTGCATTGTGTGGCATTGGATTCAACCCGATACATCTAGATAAGTCAATATTTTTTACTCTTTTACCTAGATGTTCTTGCTGACGCATTGCCCAATGCCCCAGCAAGAACATCTAGATTTTTCCGCTGGGCAATTTTTGCTTGGGAGGAGATAATGATAGTAACAATATTAGTCTTGAATCGAGTAGCCCTGGAGGCACGAGTACTATGACTAACGTACCGGATATTTTTGACGATGTACAAAATTACACAATTACAACAGAAATTAATGATTCAGGTAACTGTTTTATTAATTTTTCCTTCTTTTATCTTCTACTAAAAATTTATCACGTTTTAGGTGTTTGTTCTGAGAAAGGTGACAAATATGCCATTTATGTAATATCTGTATTATGTAAACCTGTAATTTCAACCAAAGTGACCGATGCTGATATATTAAAACAAAAAGAATGGATAACTTATCGACGTTTTAGTGAGTTTAACGATTTACATATAACCATACGAAAACGTTATCGAGATTTACAATACATTCAATTGCCACAAAAAAGTTTGATTAATTCTACTAATCAAGATGTTCGATTGAAACGACAAAAAGAATTGAATAATTATTTAATGGTAATTATTTTTTACAGTAACAGAAGTTTCATTTAATCGTATGTTTTTTCTTGTGTCCTAATGTCAGATCGATCTAATTATTGTCTCTCATAATAATTTGCATATTAAATAATTTTTTGTAACGTTGTTGTATGTATAATTATGATATACAGGAGTAGTAACTTTTTGAATTAGAGAACTTTATAGTTGTGATATAAAAAAAATCAGTTACAAATTGATCTTGTAGTATTACGTTACAAAATTTTCGTTCTATTTTTCGTCAGATACTTAAAATTCATTTTTAACTCACAGTTTATTTCACAAGTAATCCTACTATTTCATCGTCAACTGTTGTTCACTGATTTATCGTCATTTTTTTTTTCTTCATCAATTTCAGGCATTATTAGATCCAAAAGTATTAAGTACTCATCCTTATTTAGCTGATTTATTATTAAAATTTCTTCGTAATCAACAATGGAAATGTGAACAAACGGAATTCACTCGAAAAGTATGTAGTGAAATGTGAAACGAAACTACTATAAAGTATAATTTTGATAAATTCAATAGAATCGATGAAAATTTTGTCTTATATGGTTTATTTTTTCAGGCATCTTATATGCAAATAATCTATTATGTTTTAAATTCAGTTTTCGTGTTTGTAGTTATTCTTCCTCTCAGTTCTCAAAAAGATAATGTAGTTGATCATTATCATAGCTTGCGCTACACAAATATATATAAAAACATGATTTTTAATGATGATTTAAATTTATTAGAAGTAATCAATCCTTAGTTAGGAGAAGTAGTAAAAAAAAGCATCATTTCATTTTACTTATTTTACAATCTTTCAATTGAGATGAACTTTCAAAAATGTATTCACTTTTTAATAAAACAGTTAAAGTGTTAGATAGTGAATCCAACAAAGATTCTAGTTTCAAATTTAGTGCTAGTATTTTTATATAATAGATTTATAAGGTGCGCATAATGCAAAAGTTGAGCAAAACTTTTTTTCAATTTATTATACATCGTTCGGTACAGTTTTTCGAGCTGATTAAGAAAATGTATCTTGCAACGTTTCAAAAGTTGAAAAAAGTCGATACATCACAAAAGCTCGAAAATCACTCAAATTCGAAATACGCGCTCCATAGTAGTATAGAACTTTCAAACTAATTTTTTCTTATTCTGCGTCAAAAACTGAATAGAAAAACGTGGTTTGACAAAGTTCAAAGTTAAAGGGCTGTCCAACACGGACCTTCCAAATTAGTACTCTCAAATAGCGGCACCGAATTTTATAAACCTATCTAGTTTTTATATCGAGGATTAGAGCCCTCAATTGCACACCATTAGATCCGCTGAAACCTCAGCTTTAAAAGTATGTCTCGTCTTTTTAAAACTTTTGTTTCGATGCTGAGAAAATTCCTTTTTTCTACATCAGACGCGAAAACGTCGGCATTCTGTCTGTAATTCTCAATTTTCTCCATCAAAACTCAACTTTTGAAAAATTAAAAGATTATATTCGAAATCAGGATCAAAAACCGAGTTGACTGATTTGTATTTCTATTCTATCCGACGACTTCAATTTTTTTCGAATTTTTACGTTGACAAATTACCGAGATTTTCAGCCAAAACTGCAAATAAAATAAAATTTTCGAAATACATATCAACTCTATCGAACGATATATAATAAATTAAAAAAAAAATTTTGCTCAACTTTTGCATTATGCGCACCTTACTTAAAGCTAAACTGGTAGTTTATTGCATGATTGTATCTGATGGAGAGACCTGCTGTTGAGTTATAATGTATCGCTATTATACCGTTATGTGATCAAATTTCAGCGAAGATTGATTCTGCACAGAATATATGAATAGTTTTTTTCTTGATAAGAATATTATAGTGTATATTAATCTGATGTTTCTAGGACATTGTTAAATCGACGGTTGGTTTCAACTGTAATAATCAACATGAATCACATAAACTTTAGTGTTTGTATTTTATATCCCGCGACTATATAGACATGCATGATTTCATATTTACTGTTGTTCTACACGCTTGAGTTCTTTTATTTTTTTAATATTTGTTAATCATTTGGAATCTAGTGAGTTCTGAAAAAACTTCACGAGCATGAAAAAAACTATCTGTAAAAGCAAAGACTATTCTTTCTGGATGATTCAATTACTATCAATTTCTCATCGTGTGTGCTTTTTTCTTGAATGATTCAAAAATAATAACCGGATACACTTGAGATCGAAATTTGTAAAATAAACAGGAACATTTTCAGCTTACTCAACTGTAAATCGACACTTGATATTTTAATATGGATCTTGACAATACGAAAGCTTCGTATCATTTCATAGACGATCATATCTTTTCGTTGCTCCTTTTAGCATAATCGTCTTACAGTACTCGTCAGAAGTAGCGACCTCCCTGTAACTGAAGAACCATGATAGCTAGGGACTTCTAATTTTATATGTTCATAGCTCTTGCCAAATGTTAATCATCCACCAAGTTTGGGCCTCTTTTACTAGATGGTTCGTGAGATATAAGCGATTTATAAATCGCGAACCATCTAGTAAAAGAGGCCCAAAACTTGGTGGATGATCAACATTTGGGAAGAGCTACGAATATATAAAATTAGAAGTCCCTAGCTATCATGGTTCTTCAGTAATTTGTAATACTTTTGATTAAGTACTGTAAATCCGCCTGTTTTTCAAATACCATGTCTTTTTATTTCAGAACGTTCTTTGATTGTTGTTACTGTCTTTTCACATGATATATGCTTATTACTGTTCACACAAATAGCTTCTTTTTTTCTTATTTAGTATAGTATGATACTGTATTTTCCTTTTTCTATGTTTTAGGTTGATACTCTCGTGAATCCATTTAAGCAATCAGCGTTAGGCATTAAAAATGCTGTTACCTCACTACCTGGCAATGTTGTTAAAAGTGTAAATAAAGTTGCCGATGGAATACAAATAGTGTCAGATAGTGTGACGGATAATATGGGAAAACTATTTCGAACTGGACAAAGTTTGAATGATGCCTCTCGAGCTTTACAAACATTTCCAATTGTTGAAGATTATCAAGTATGAATTAGTGCATAATAGCAATTTTTTTTCTCTAATATGTAATCATTATTACAGAGTGGTAAAAATATTCCATTGCGTGTACTCCTGGTTATTATGGATGAAATATTTGATTTAAAACAAAAAAATATGTGGTTTAGATCAAGATTTGTATCAATATTAAAAAGAGTATTACGAACATTTATGGGTGGTTCATTCAACAGGTAAGATGACGATGAGAATGCAATTATCTTGCACATTATTTATCAGTTTATTGATTGATTTCATTTACTTTTCGAAGACGAATTGCTGATTTTGTCAGACATTGGACATCGGCACCAAAAATTGCTAAAGAAATTAGACGATTCAAGTAAGAATTGAAGTAGTGAAAATATAATAAGAAAGAAATTTTTGTTTCTCTTTTGTTAGAGACAACTATTGGCCGAATGGTATCATAGCTGATAAACCAGCTGAACGTGATGAAAGTATAAAACACGTTACACAAGTATTATGTAAAGCAAAATTATTAGGAATTGTATCAGGTACATCATTTTATTATTTATACTTTTTAATCTAATTAGAATCATCTTTTTTCTCTATTTAGATGAATTACGTCATATAATTGGTAGTGAAACCACACGTCGTGGACTCTTACGTCTATTTGAATTATTACAAAATGAAACGTTGAATCGTCGTTTTATCTTTGTTTTATTTGAAGCAATACTCATAAAACTATTTCGTCCAAATGATTTACATTTAATATTTGAAAAATTATATTCTAAATCATCTCGTGTTAAAGATGAATATAAACGACGAAACCATGAAGTAAATGTAAAACTCTGTAAATGAATAACGTATCTATTTTTTACATTATTTAAAGGTTCGAAGTAATGATCAATTAAATGTAAATATGATGTTGACACGAACGAATAGTGTAACTAGTAATAATTCTAATATTACAGGTAGAAATATGCCAAGAAGTTTTTCGAAAATATCATACTAATAAGTGTTTGTATTTTTACTCATGCTTTTGTGTATCTAACAGCCTTCTTTTTTTTTTTGGGAATATTTTGATATTTTAATGAGTTTCCCCGGTGATATTCCTTCTCCTCTTTCCATGACCTCGCCTACTTATTCGACGAAAATAATAAATGACAACAATTACATTCCAACTACTGCTAAACCATTTAAATAGTTTAAAATTGACGGAATTTTTTTTTGTCTAAAAAATTGAAAGCATCATTCTGCCGTCCGTCAACTATAATAAAATAATTTGAATACACATTTATTTTTGTCATTCCATATTGTATGAACGGTCTGATAACTGGTTTTATTTATTTATACCTTTGACTTCATCTTCTAACAGTGGCTACTTTTCTTTTAAGTATGGATACTTTCTTCGTTTTGTACTTCTACAAATGAACTAAGTTGGTTTGTTTTTTTAATATTTGTAAATAATGTTTTCCTATTTATGTAACAGACAGTGGTATTTTGTGTTTCATTTTCTCTCTTTCTGTACAGTCCTGTGCAACATTATAGAAACGATTTGTTTTTGATTTTTCTCCTCATTCATGATCGCCAAACAAATCTGAAAAAAGGCTTAAATAGCTGGAAGAATTTCCAACCTCATATAGCGGATATAAAAATTTCTGAAATCAGAGCGTCTAGAAAACCCAAAGCTTAGAAAATCGAGTTCCAAAATTCAATCGGAAACTTTTCGTAAATAACTTAGTCGGATAGAGCAGCCATTTTTCGGCAAAACTAGATGTCTCTTAGCTCTTCATGACACTTTTTCATCAGTCTACATCAATTTACGAAAGGCCTTAGAAAGATTTTTTCCTGTTTCTCTACTGATTTTGCTAGTTTTGTCGAGCTGAGACCTTTCATCAATTGAGTGCAGACTGATAAAAAAATGTCATGAAGAGGTAAGAGACATCTAATTTTGTCGAAAAATAGCTGCTCTACTCGACTGAGTTATGTACAAAAAGTTTCCGATTGAATTCTGAAAGTCGATTTTCTAGGATTTGGGTTTTCTAGAAGCCCTAATTTCAGAAATTTTTATAGGCACCATCTTGGAAATTCTTTCAGCTATTTAAGTCTTTTTTCAGATTTGTTTAGCGATCATAGATGAGAAGAAAAATGAAAACAAATCGTTACAATAATTTTGCACAGGACTGTACAGTCGTTAATCTATGCACTCATATCGATAATTTTATGTTTTTTATTTGAACAAAAATGAAGATGATCAGGACAATAATATATTTTTCTTTTGAATTTTGTAATAAAAATTATTTTATATAGAAAGAATTTGAGTATCAATTATTACGAGCTAAATCTTTCTCATTTGTCCTCCACTATTATTTTCTAAATTTTTGCGAGAAAAAGTTCGGATACTAGTTAAAAGTAGATAAATGTTAATATCTCCTTTTTTATGATAAGTAATTTGAATTTGATAGAACAAGAAAGAAGCACGTTTACTTTCTCGTTGCAGCCATTTTTTGGACAATATTGTTAGGATCGAATTTGTCTAATATTCCTGTAGCTGCTAGATGAAATTTACGGTTTGCTTTGCATGATGGAATAAATTTTAATAGTAACTAAATGTACAAATGCATACAGTTGATTCTAAAACAATTTCTTCTTAATTCTATAGTAGTGTATATTAGGTTGAGGAAAAAGTTCGTGCGCCGTGTTAAAATAATGATTTTTTATGCATGAATTTATTCAAAAACAACAACAACTATTCTTCAAAATAAAGACCGTCATTATTGGAGAAAGAAGCAT